TTATAGATATCATCAATAATTCGTACGATGATAACAGAATTTAATAACGATGTTGATAAACTTTTGAATAATTTAACTGCTCAATCTCATAATCGTGTTATGTAAATAATTCTTCTAGAGTTTTGTTTTGTTTGTATATACATATTCTTTTCTATTGTATAGAACTCCACGAGAAGCAAATCGTCGTCGAACATTAGTTGATACAATAAAACAATCGAAAGAAGAAATTGAAACAACAATGAGAAAAAGTTTTAATACATTTTCGTACGTTCCCGTGATTCATTCATTAGAATTGTTAATCAATAATTTCTATTATACCACATGATCGGGTAGATCCGCGTTTTGCACCTGCTGTTGAAGCAGAATATACTCAAGGTTTAACAAGTGATGAATTTGCTGAACTTCATTCAAATTTACGAAAAAGTATTTTCTTTTTAAAAGCATGGCATATGATTATCATAACAAAAAAACATTTTTATTTCTTTTATTTATATAGATAATGATGAAGCTATTGATGCATTACATGCCATAGTTAAACGTCAAAAAGAAATCGGTGTTGCAATGACATAATGAAATAATTGATACAATAACTGATCGTACTGGATTACTTGATTCTCGTATTAAACGTCAAACAATGTTAGTTAAAGTTATCGATCGAAAATCATCAGCATTATGGTTATGGGTTATTATTATACTTCTTTTCATTGCTATTATTGTTATAGCTGCTATTCCATTTAAAAAATAGTTTAAGCAACTTTCCTCGTATATCTTGTCTTCTTTTTATCCTTGCTGAATGTAATCTACATCATTTTTTTATTTATGAGTGATTTCACTCAAGCCACGACCTATCGTGCTCAATCGATTTTTCTGAACTTTGATTTCAACTACATATGTTAAAAGTACATCAATTACTTAGTTTTTTTTACCACCAACCGCAGCTCTGAAGCTCAAACCATTGCTAAGATATTCAATTTTTAATGTAGTTTGTCATATATCGAAATAGTGACACATGATTCTGTACGCTTTGATATTCACTATGCCATTTCCGAACAACTCAACATAGAGCTCTGAAAATTTCAGTAATTGTACACATTTAATTACACTACAAAATGACACAAACCGCAGTTCTGTAAGTTGTTGTATTAGAAAGATATAGATGTCGCTAGTAGTGTTTATTAATCATAAATTCCCTCATGCGTAACCAGCTCAATAGGACTCTAGCTTTCAGGATAGACACTAGGCATGTGAAGCTACAAATTGATGAAAAAAAAACTTTGGGCATTGAACGGAAACCAGAGATATTGAATTTTTCCGTCATTGTCTGCAATTTGTGTATTTTAACATACAGCAATTTTTTTATTATTTTTTTAAAATTCAACAAAAAGAAACCAATTTGGGCTATTATTTTGAAATATGAACGAATTATGAACCTGTCTTTTCTAAATATTCTTAGTATCTCTAATAAATGTATCTTGGATAATTACCCATGTCCTTTGAATCGACTAAAAATTGCCGATTAATCCCGATTCATCGAAACGATAATCATGAGCTGAATCGCGATAGAATCGTCGATTATTCCCGATTATTTCAGCGATTTTTACGATAAATCGTGATTTTATGCAAGATTTAACCGTCTGTTTACTGATATTTCCTACTATTTCATTGGTTCTTTTGGAGACACATATTTGGATTTTTTCTTGAATTTAATTCAATTTTTTTTTGTTCTCAAGATCCAAGTCGATCAGATCGTGCGATCTGTTCGATCTCGAGCTGGTCAGATTCTTATCAGACCGCTTCAGTGTAGTCCTCTCCAGATCATGGATCGAGACTGGCATTTCCTTGATTAAAAATAACCAAGAAATAATTTATCAGAAAAGTATATTTCGAAAACTTGTTTGTTATGCATTGAACGGCGTTGTTTATATATCCGTGTGTGTTCATAACAAAACGGTGAATGAATAATTGTCATGATTTATCAATGATTTTTGAAAATCAGCTCTTCTCCCATAATCGCGATAAAATCTGATATAATCGTCGATCTTTTAAAGAAATACGATAAATCACGATTTTACGCCAATTTTTTAGAAAATCGCGAAAATCGCGGTGATTCTCACGACATGGGTAGAATCATGTTGATTTGTATATTATACTATCCTTATAAATATGCTTTTTTCCTCAAAATAATCAATATTTTGGGAATATTCTCGTGGTAAATATAGTACTTAGTGGCAGGCCTCGAAATCGGGCCACTTTTTGATGACGCGACCCGGCCCATATCTGGTCAAGAATCACTCACGCCCACCAAGCCCAACTTCTACTCTATTAGAGCCCGACCCAGCCCACCAGACCAGTTAACCATGTCTACCCGGCCCGATCCGAATAACAATGGCACTATTATAATTATATTTTTTTTTTACAATAAAAAGGTTTTTACATGACGGAACTCAACGGTCACTGCAGTTAGGGATGGCTATTTCTTCTTAATTTACTTGAATTTTAAACTTCTTGAATTTTAAATGAAGAATAAATTAAAATTTTGAAAAGTTAAATTAATTTTATATTTAAAGTAATTTTAAATTTAACTTATTTATATGACTTTCAATAAGTTAGATTTAAAATAAATTGGATATGGATGTGGGTGTGAGTGTGGGTGTGAATGAACATCAGACATCCACACCCACACCCTTCTTCATCATCTATATTGCTTAGTTGAGATGAGTAGTCATACATCTTTGAAGTTGAATTTAACTGTTTAAACATATATTCGCTTAATAATTCTGAGCTAAGAACACGTTTGTTTTTCAGCAAATTCAATATTTCTAAACCATCAAGCATGTCAATAGCTTCGTGGTATGCTTCGGTAATAATTCGTTCGATATCTATTTGATCAATTTCACTTTGACTTTGTGTAAATGATGATTGACGATCATTTCGATGTTTGTGATGAACTGGAAAGACCAAATTATTATCTGATTCATCATTTAACTGTTTAAATTTAATTTCATTCAATAAAGACAATCTTTGAGCACATCGTAAAAAATCATGTACTGTAAACTTGATGATAGATGCGTAGATTCCACTTAATGCTTGCGTGTTTCTAAAAATCGATTTGCAAGCTTGCGAATTAAAAATATAAATATGTAACGCATGTGGTGGTAAACGTTTTTGTTTGACAAGTAAAATTAAATATAACAAATTATGTGCGTTTATTTCGACCGATAAAAATGCTGGTCTAGCAATGAAATATCTGCTTTTGTTGTTTTCTGTAGTTTGCGTTGAATTGAATGTTTTGAATTTGATCCATGTAAGCCATATTCAAGAGAAAAATACCACACACCTAGCATACTTTAGTCCTAAAATAAAATATTATTACATGTGACGTGTTCTGAATAAAGAGTTTTCCGCTCTCACTCAGTGAAAATAATAAATAGGCATACTTACGTTCAGCAATAGTTGTTTTCTTATCAACGTAAGTCAATATAATCATTTTTAACATCTAAAGATGAATCAGGGTTTCCCGAGTATTAACATCATCATTTAAAATTTTAAATAGATCAGCAGAAGTTAATTTCAAACAAGAACTAAAGTTTTGACGATCTTTAGAGTTAATGTCAGACTTTGTTAAGCCATGGTCAAGTTTAGAATAAGTTTCATTATTGATAATGTCATGTAAATGATTGATCAATATAAATTGATTACTATTAGAGGTTTCCCTGTATCTTCTCGATGTTCGTTTATTTCCAGAT